TGTTCACTCAGTCTCAACTCTGTGTTAACTACCCAAAGAGTCACACTTCGGGCAATGGAGATTTGAGAGGGAATAGAGGAATCTCCCAGGAATAAGGTTCATTTTGAATTCCACCTCCCTTCCCTCTCCCATCCATTATGCCAACCTCTCTCCAAAAACCCCTAGGATCTCCCTGAAGATGAAAGGAGTTGGAGACTAAATGTGTATATTTGGTCAGAAAAAGGAACTTAGCAGACAAGAGGCCTTAGGGCTCTCTTACTATGGGTCCCACCTCTCTTGATTTCTTTAGGTACTGCTTTAGGCACAGTGGATGTTGGAGCACAGTAAGTAGAAAGAAGTCTAGAGTTCTCTCAAAGGATCCTTCAGCTGCTGTACACAAACTCACACATGATCCTATGAGTGAGTCTTCCCCTACAGAGTGACACAACCTACATCCCCAGAAGGTGGTAATGAAAGGAGAAGAGGAAACTTGTGCAGGCTCACGGGGGTGCATTGGGACACTGGTAACCCTGGCAATGACTGCAATTCCTCTGAGTGCCTGTGAACTCCAGTGTGCCAGGGTGTTTAGGACTCTATCATGCACTAGATTAAATATAACTGGGTTAATTTTGGAGGATTATCATGCCTAGATTAATTTCAGAGATGATGAGTCTTTCATAAGAGTAAGCAAGCATTGTATGTGGCTGAGGGTGTGTGTTTGGGGAAGGCAAAGTGGGGAAATTTAGTATTCTTTACCTGATTGTACTGGCCCCTTACCTTTCCTTTTTCCATGAATTGACATTGTCTTTGGGAACTCTGAGAATGGTCCATTCCTGGGAATGGTGTGTTTATGTATGCGTGTGTTTGTGTGTGTGTGTATATGTGTAGAGCCTTTGAGCAGTGGAGAATGTCTTGCTTGCATGTATTCTATTGTATATGTGAGAACATTGTCAGCCAAGGTGCAGAGTGTATTTACATATGTAAAAAGTCTTTCTCTGCAAGGCCACTCTCCTGGTGTTGTGTTAGAGTGCGGTTGAGTGTGAAGGCAAATATGAGGGTACAAGAGGGTAGGGGAGGTCTGAAGGGCTGGTGAAATCTCTGTGTGGGAACACAAACAGACTGAGGGATAGAGGCTCCCACTATCTTTCTCATAATCTGATGGCACTTCCCCTATCCCCAGTCAAGGACTGGGAGGCCGGTGGGCTGGGGCCTCAAGAAACTCTCCATCTGGAAATCACTCTCCCAGGCTGCCAGAGAGAGCTTAGCTAGGTCCTTTCCTGAGCTGGGGAGAAAGAACCCTTATCCATCCGAATTTTTGTCACTAGACCTCAGGCCAGCAGAATGGGCCTTTCAGCCAGTAGTCCTACAACCAGGAACCCACCTGAGGGAACAAGGCCAGCAGTTCTCTTGGAAGATCCCTCCATGACTGTCTGCTCCTGAGACCATCTGCTCCTGGGGTTGATCCACAGGCGGTTGGGTCAGCAGTGCGGGGACAGCAGGCCAGTGTGGGTGCAAGGCGGGGGCAGGCCCCTGGGGCAGCTGCCATCTCTCTGAGCAGCCCTCCCATTGGAGCTGGGGTCCATGCGGCAGACAGCCCCCTCCGTGGCTCCATCTGTTCAAGAGAGCACCCCCACCCTAAGATCCGCTGGGGTCTGTCCTGAATAGTATCGCAGCCCCCCCCAAGAAAACTCCGAGGGCGATTCAGGCAGATGTGTATCTAGACAGCCACTGGTGGTGAATTGAGGGGCCCTGGGGAGCGAGGGGCTTCTGGGAGGAGGAGGAGGGGGCCAGAGCCTGTTCGCAACCAACCAGGCTCTTCCTCTTTTAGCCTTGACCGTGACTAGGTCTTTCTGACCTTGACATCACAAGGAGCAGAGGGAAGGGGGGAGGGTGGAAAAGGCCTTGATCTTCCGGTGGCCAGCGAAGGGGAGGGCCGCTGGCCCCCTTGACGCGCCATCCCCCTTCCCGCCCGAGCCCGCCGCCTCTGTTTACACACGGAGGAGGTGTAGTCTCCAGTCTAGACAAGGGCGCTAATAACGCCCATAAAAGGCGGCCTCTCCAGAGATGCTCTGGCAACTCAGCTCCCGCGCGCCTGCCTGCCGCTGGCCGCTTCCTCCGCCTCCCCCGCCCCGCCCTTCTCGATACCTCGGCTGGGCCTGCGGGCGGCCTTGGGTGGGGGGATCCAGAAGGTTTCTGAGGCTGAGAACCCCTGCCCCTCACCCTTCTGAACCTCTTCTTGTCTCCAAAGGTAAGTGGACACCCCCTCTCCCCGCTTTCTCAGACCAGCCAACCTCATCGTTGGTAGTACATCTGCCACCCCTACCAGACTCCTGGGCTGGTTGCTCCCGCCCCAATCCGCTCGTGGCCCCCTCCTTGAACCAGGACTGGGGTCCTGGGTTTGGAAAGCAGCTGGGTAGCTGTGCGGAGCAGACCCCAAGCAGATCTCAGCCCCTCCGCAGAGCTGGGCCTGGCCAGTGGACGTCGTCACAGCCAGAGGACCAGGCTGAGGGGCGAGGACGTTCGGGGTAGTCCGCACTCCCCGCCCAGTTTAGAGATCCGCGGAGACCAGCCCTGGTCTCGGTTATGCTGCAGGCGGCTGTGGGTGTGGCGTTTGATGAGTTGTTTTTTTTTTTTTTAACTTGGTTCCCACACCTTTCCTGACACTCAGTAGTTCACTAGGTGGAGGAGATCCTCTGCTGGTGGAGGGGGAAAATGTCAGAGCTGCGGCACTCTTTAACTGTTAGCGCGGCAAAGGACTGAGAAAATGGGAGAAGATGGTCCATTTAGGGATGCTGAAGTGGGGGATAGAGTTGGTCTCCCAGATGTGCTGGCCTGGGGGCTCTCACCCCTTCTCACTTTCTGAGTGGCAATTGGGCTAGGGTCTTTCGGTGGGAGTGGGCCAGAAGAGCCAGTGGGCAGGAGGATGGGGGACATAAGGACTCTGCTGGCCCCAGGCTATTTGTTGTGCCTAAAAGTCTGGCTGGGCTCCCCCACCCAGCATTCCTGTAAGTCCCCTTCCTCCAGGCTGCAGATCCCTAGAAAGCAGTACCTAGCTAAGGGGTTTCCCAATCTGGTCGAAAGGTCCTGGGCACTGCTAGGGAGGGCTGGAAGCCAGGTGGGCTCCAGCCTTTGAAGGAGGCATGAAGTGATGAAAGAAGAGATTAAGCCCCTACCCCTAACCCCCAGTCTTGTCTGCAGCCAAAGGTCTGGTCCCAAGCCTGACTGCCCCAAAGGGGTGAAATGGAGAGAGCTGAGGGGTCGGTCAGGGGGCCCAGGCTCTCCCAGACGCTTTTCATCTTCCCTCTCCACCCCGCCCCCAACTCCTGCTCACAACCCTTCTGGGGCCCAGGCCCTGCCTAATTTGCATATGCGGCCGAACCGCTTTCTGCAAACTAGACAGTGACCTTGAACTGGGCCGCTGTGGTCTCTCAACCGACCTGGGAGAAGACAGCACCTCGCAGAATAATTCCGGATTCGAGTGGGCGGGGAAGCCCAAACGCAGTCTCTCCCAGCCGATTCCTGGCGTCTCTAAGCCTGTACCCAAAGCCGCTTTGCCCCTGCCACCAGAGCCGGAGTTGATTTTATAATTAATTCCTTTCACCGGCTCAGCCGCAGTAGAAGCCGTGAGGATGCAGGAGGGATGGTGGCACAGATAGAGAAGGTGTGAGAGAGGATGCGGCATCCAGCTGGTGCATGTGCTGAAGGACGCGGGCTGCATTGGGTCTTCAGGGAAAGCCTTGGACCGCATCCTTGCCTTCAGCTTTAATTAACCCCCGAGTGAATGAGTGGACATCGTTGAGCCTGGCCAGCTGCGGTGGGAGCCAGTGGCTCAGGGGCCAGCCGGCAGGCTACCCATTCTTGTGATTTGATGAATGTGTGGGATAGTTTGGACACTCCAATAGCTCCAGGGTTCCGGAGCCTCAGCCTGACCAACTATAGGTTTGCATAAGGGCAGCGAGGGGTCGGCAGATTAAACCCGGCTACACACGGCTAGCCACGGCTGCCCAACACCGCCGTGGGCTGCGACACCCTCCCAGTCTTTTCCCCAGGCCCAGCCCGCTCCAGGCGAGCAGCTCTCACTGAGGCTGGATTTAGGGTTGAAGCTTCGCACCCGAGCCTCCCGCCGGGCCCGGGGACCCAGGTTGGAACCGGCATTTACGTCTGAGCCCGGCTGAGCCCGGTTTAAAAAGGGTTGCTTGAGCTGCATGTGCGGCTGGGGGTTCCTTAACGGCGAATAGGGCCTTGCTGGTGTACAGGGAGACTGGACGCTCAGATTGTCTGGGTCCTCACCAGGGTTCTGAAAACCCCTAGGTTCACAGTGGGCCTCAGTAGCAGGACACCGGGAATGAGAATTTTGCTAATGGTTCTCAGCAGCTTTCCAGGAGAGGAATTAGGATCGGCCGCGCAGGGAAGGAAGAGAGGTTTGTGCATGCCTCTATGCCTGCACAGTTCAAAACCGGGGGAAAATAGCCTGTTTTGATGGGACCAAACCGGGCCGGGAGAAACGTGTGTCTGGAAGAAGGACGCCCTCACTCAATCTTCATTTATCTGGCGTTGCATCTGCCGCCCTGTGGCCGCTGCTCCTCGCGCTCAGCGCTGGCCCGGGAGGGCAGCGAACAGAGCTCCTGGCCCTGGATTTGCGAGCTGGGGAGGCTTGGGGAGATGCTGAGGCTTTCCTCCTGGGGTCCCTCTTCTAGGAGATTTGAGTCATCTGGGAAGGGAAAAGAGAATGGGGAGAAGACTCCACCCCGCAAGGGATAGTCATTATTCCGCAAAGCCCAGCTCGGCAACCCTCTCGCCAACAATAGCGGCTGAGCGCCGAGGCCTGTAGAGCCCGGGCGGGCGAGACCTCCTCGCGGCCGGCGCAGTGTTCTGATTGAAATCAGCAGCAATATTAAAGTCACACCCTGTTTATATTTATGACCAAAATAAGCCTCAAATAAAATTTTAAAAAACTAAAATTTGCAGTGGCGCTAATGCATCCTGAAAAAGAGAAATAATATGTTAGAGATGCTGTGACATGTAATTTGCAGCTGAGGGATGCTCCTCTCCACAGCCTCGCAGCCCCTTATCAATTAGGCACAAAAAGGCCAAGTCTTCTGCCCATTCCTCGGTGCGCCTGGCTCTCGGGTTCTAACTGGAGGTGAGGATCGAGTCTGGCATCCCTCCGCTGGGCCTGGGTTCGGGCGTGTGGGCCCTACGCGGGGCGGGCTCCTCGGGCGGGAGGGGCCGGGCAGCCTCGCCAGCCGGGGCGGGGAAGGGGAACCGGCCAAGCGGGGCGAGGGGCGGGCGCGGAGCTGGTAGCTTCGAGCAGCTCGGGCTAGGCGGCACCCGCGGGGGACACATTTCTGTCGGAGTGAGCAGCTATAGTTTGGGATATGAAATCACCCTGGGAGCGGTGGAATTCGAAGAATCTGCGTTTCTCTCTGCCGGGTCCTGCATAGTAGAGAGGGGAGGGAGAGAGAAAAGGAGGGAGAGTCTTCTCTGCTTCCGTCTGCTTTTGTAGCTTGGGCTCATTCTCAAATATTTAACTTTCACCTACATGGATTTCTTTCTCTAGTATTCTCTCGGACTCTCAGTCTCTCCGTCTCTCCATTATTTTTGTCTAAACCTTCTGGTATTTTTACGTATTTAGACGTTTGCTGAACGCTGTATTACTTAAGCCATGGGTTGGTTCAGAGCTCGAAATATTCACATAGAAATTCGAGTGTTTTCTCTACCAGACCCCAGTAAGTTGCATCTGGTTTGGGGGAGTTTTATCTCGTTTCTCTTTTTAATCTGCTTGGTGTGTCCTGTGGACCTAGTTGAGATTGGGTTGTGGTTTTGTAGATGATTGCAGATTATCTTGCCAATGCCCAGCGCTGGGCTCTCCTCCTTCTCTGGAAGGAGCTTCTGAGGTTTGCACCATAAATATAATTTAAAGCTCCCAACAAGAGAATTCTCCAGGAGTTCTTTCCCTCACTCCCAGCCCACCTCAGGAGGCATCCTACCACTGGCCTCTGCACTGCTATCTGATGGGCCGAGCAGCAGGCTGGGCCGGTTCTGGGCTGTGGGTATCTCCTCTGTAGTGGGAATTGAGCCCTTATCAGGCAGTCCAGCCCTGTGGGGGCTCCAAAGCCTCCTGCTGCGAAGACTCCAGGAGACCCCCCAAAAGCTCCGTTGTCCCTCGGAAATGACAGTGGAAGAATAGTTCAAGTCTCCAGATTTTCAAGAACAGGCAGGCAGATCCGTGCGTAGCTGGCGCCTCCTTTTTCTGCTTTCTCTGCCTCCCCTCCGAGTCCTTCCTCTAATGGTGAGTGGAAGGGTGAAGCTGGGGGTCTCCCGGATCCAGCGGAAAGACCTCGAATTATCAATTCTCTCTGAGTCCTTTTCGGGGAAGAGGACCCCAAATATCTCTACGAATTCCTGAGGAGAAAGCGTAGATGAAGATGAGCACAGCAGCCACAGGGCTGGGAGAGATATGAGCAGGGAAACCTGTCCTAACCCCCACTTCTTCTCCTCTACTGTAAATAAACCCCGAGCCAAAGGGCTCATCCGTCTCCTTAAACAGCCAGTAAACTTTATATGACACAATATCTAATAGTAATTTATTGGGGAGATATTGTAAATTCCAACGGTTTTAGTTAATAAAGGAGCTAATTAAAGAGGGACGGGCTGTGCTCGGCCAGCTGTTGGCGATAAGATAATACATCTGGGGGGTGCTGGGTGCAGGGGTGTATATGTGCGCGTATTTTTGGTGTGGGTATTTTCCTCTTGCCCCATGTTGGGCAATTGCTTTACCCTGCGTTAGGTTTTATATGATTTTTTTAAGAAACGGAATTCAGCGAATAAACCTGCCCCCACCCTTTGTTGCCCCCCCATCCCCCCTATTGGGGATAGGGGAAGTTGGAGTTAGTGCGGGGTGCGGTGGGGGATCGGCTGTCCCCACCCCTCCCCCTGGCGGCGGCGCCCACGTGAGCGGGGCGGCCAATGGGTAGCTGGTGCAGGTTTAACTATGTTTAATGTCAGATAGCAATAAAGTAGAAGCTGCCGGTCGGGCCCCGCGGAAATGGGCGAGCATAATCTCCTGAATCCCGGGTTTGTGGGGCCGCTGGTAAACATCCACACGGGAGACACCTTCTACTTCCCTAACTTCCGTGCGTCCGGGGCGCAGCTGCCCGGGCTGCCTTCGCTGTCCTACCCACGCCGCGACAACGTGTGCTCGCTGCCCTGGCCGTCGGCAGAGCCGTGCAATGGCTACCCGCAGCCCTATCTCGGCAGCCCGGTGTCGCTCAACTCTCCTTTCGGCCGCACGTGCGAGCTGGCGCGCGTGGAGGACAGCAAGGGTTACTACCGCGAGCCGTGCGCTGAGGGCGGCGGCGGGGGCCTGAAGCGTGAGGAGCGCGGGCGCGATCCGGGAGCCGGGCCCGGGGCAGCGCTGCTGCAGCTGGAGCCGTCGGGGCCGCCTGCGCTCGGCTTCAAGTACGACTACGCAGTGGGTGGCGGCGGCGGCGAAGCCGGCGCAGGAGCCCCGCACGACCCACCCTCCTGCCAGTCGCTGGAATCCGACTCCAGTTCATCTCTGCTCAACGAGGGCAACAAGGGCGCCGGCGCAGGCGACCCGGGCAGTTTGGTGTCGCCGTTGAACCCCAGCGGCGGGCTCTCCGCCAGCGGTAAGGACCCTGGCCCACTCGTGCGGCGTATTCAGATCCGACATCCTACCAGGGAGGGCTGGGTTGGACTGAGTTAGGGCTGCCTGGGGTGACAGAATGTGCAGTGCGGAAGCGCTTCTTTTAAAATGAAGTGCGGGTGGGGGGAGCCCTATAAACATGTAAATATCCCCATAAAAGAACTTGGGAGATTTCCTTTTTCTGCGGCTGGAGGGAGCAGGGAGTAGGGAGAAGGGGGATCTTGACTGGGCCTTCCCAGGCCTGGGGGTGACTGAGAGCCTTGTCCTTGCTCTGCCAGATGCAAGGGAGACCAACATTTTTTATTTTAAGAAGTGCCAGTGGGTACTGGTTTACTCTTCACTACTTGCCCATGTCTGTTCTGACTGATGTGATCGAGGATCCATCCAGTCCTGAAGGGCATGAGAGGAAGGGGCCAGGAAATAAGGAAGAAGAAAACTGGGAAGAGGTTTGGGGGAAGCATGGGGACAGGAACATAGATGTGTCATGGATACTGCAGCAGGAGGTAGGGTTGAGGAGGCAGAGGGAAGGAGTGAAAGGGAAAAGAGGAACGAAGGTGGGATGGGGGTCTGGGTAGAGGAGGATCTGGGTAGAAGAGGCTGATTGGGATGCCTGGCAGCAAGGAGAAGGCAGAGGAAGAGACTGGGGTCCGGGGTAAGGCCAAGGCGAAAGGGTCTGGGAAGGGCCGAGGGTACTGAACTGGTCACCCTTGATCCTCTGGCCAACCCTGCGGTTCATCTCCACCCAGGCGCGCCCTGGTACCCGATCCACAGCCGTTCACGGAAGAAGCGCAAGCCCTATTCGAAGTTGCAACTGGCGGAGCTGGAGGGCGAGTTTCTGGTCAACGAGTTCATCACACGACAGCGCCGGAGAGAACTCTCAGACCGCTTGAATCTTAGTGACCAGCAGGTCAAGATCTGGTTTCAGAACCGGAGGATGAAAAAGAAAAGACTTCTGTTGAGGGAGCAAGCGCTCTCCTTCTTTTAGGGGGCGGGATACAGGTGCCAGCCCCAGACTGAGCCTGTCCCTGGCAGAGAGCAAGAGGGGGCGCCGCCTAGGACACAGTCCCCGCTTAGAAATCCAGGCGACTCTGGCAGGCCCTCCCTGGACGTCGTCTTGTCTGTTTTGTTCGTGGTTCCCTCCCATAAACCCCCAGAAGACCCTGCCAGGTCCCAGAAAGAAGGGAAGAAAGCCAGCCAGAGAGAGCGAACCCGCAGCTGCGAGCGGGTGGCAGGGGCAGGAAGGCACAGGCACTGCGGAGGGGCTGGTTTATTTAAGGCGCTGCGCCTCCCGCTGAGGATCTGGAGAAGTGGCCGCCCAAACATACCCTCCCTCCATTTCCCTTCGGTGGTCTTAAGTCTCTTTGCCTGCAGGAGCAGATGAGCGTGGGGACAGTGGAACCAAGGCGCCCAAACTCACATTTGGTGGGGTTAGGAGAATCTGGGAGGAGGGAGAAAGAGTGGAGCATCAGCGGAGAGAGCAGAAGGGGTCAGCGTAGCTCCGACAGGGCTGGAGGAAGTGGGAGAACCAAGGGGGAGCTGCGTTTGGAGAAAAGAATGATCAGCAAGGCCCAAAGTCTGCTGGGGTCTGGGTCCTCCTTCAGCCCTGAGAGGGCTGAAGCTCGGGCGTTCGGCAGCCTGGGCTGCGGACAAGGACCATCAGTCTCATGTCCCTTCTCGGACAGGTTACCACAAAGGTCTCTCGGTCCTCAGCCCTCTCCCAGCCCCCAGCCCGTCCCGGGCGAACATCGGCTCACAGGTGTGCTGCCATCCACTCTTCCCACGGCCAAGGCCGCTTCGGACCGGAAGCGGCAAGAAAGGAACTGAGAGCCCAGCGGATGCAGCCTCAGGTTCAGTAGCCACTCCAGGGACCCCCACCTGGCCCTCCGGAAAGTCCTAGAGGCTGTGGATGGGGCTGCGGAGCGCAGCACTGATTGGTTGGGAGAGTTTCTGGCAGCCAAAGCGGCGGCCGCTGATTCTCCCTTCCCCGCTGGCGTTCATGGTCATGGCCGGAGGCTGGACCTGCGTAATTTACGAGGCGGGAGGAGAATTCGCCCTTAAAGGGGCTACCGGTCGCTGAGGCCCCACTCCGTTTCCCAGGCTGGTGACAATAAAGGGGGGGGCGCTGCAGCTCTCCATCCAACTCTTTTCTCTGTTTCCCCCACCCACCCCCCAACATTGCCCTTTGTCTTGGGATGGCTGCCTCTGTCTCCAGGCCAGGGATCAGCCACCAAGTACAGGGACCAGAGCAGAGGGAGGAGCACGTCCCTAGAACCGGCTCAAAGCCAGAGAGTGGCTGCTCTGACTGGGAAGGCCTTTTATCTATAGAATCCTTGGACCCCAGCCCCAGCCCCGTAGATCTTGGGCTGGCCTGGGGGAGAGGAGAGAAAGAGCCCATCAGCCTTTCAGCACTTCCTTTTAATCCTGCTCCCCAAGAATCCCCCAACCACCCATCTGCTCTCCGGTCTGGCCCTGGCCAGGAGCAAGAGTGTAAGAAGCAGGGTACTGATGGGAGTTAATTGCAGCCTGGACAGTGTGAAACTGGCCTGCTGGCTTGGAGTATTTCCTGCCTGGGAAGAGTCTCTCCTAACAAACCCTTCAAGGGCAATTCACAGAGTCCCCCAATCTCCCAGCAGCACACAGCTTCAAGTTCCTATACAGGATTGTGCAGAGGCACCAGCAAACACATAACACACAGCTGAGCCCAGCACAGCACTGGACTCACCCCACTCTCCCTACTGCACTTGCAACCAGACAGCCTCCTAAGTCTGAATACAGCCCTTCAGAGTGGAGATAAAATCACAACCATCTCCATCCCCCACTGGGTATCTGACACCTGACACTTCTCCACCCATATACACTTGTTTCACCCACATACAAGTTCCCAGAAATCACTTCCATTCCAGCTGTCTGCAGTCTCCTGTGGGCCTGCCCTGGGGATGAGGCACTCCCCGCCTTCTCTGGTCACCCACTGTACCCCTTCATGTATCCCTTCCTGTGACCTGGTGGGCTCCAAGGTGATGAATTCAAGCTCTTCCACCCAGGCCTGACTCCCACAGCCTACTAGAGAAGATAGACCAGAACACTCCAGAAGGAGTGGGGGGACAAATATATGCAATATTCTCTGCATCACGTTAAACTTGACTTCCCTGAGCTTTTCTGTCAATCTGTGTCCTGTTCTCTGTCTGTCGCTAGTACCTAGTGTAGTCCCCATGGGTAGCTACCCTTCCCCAGTTCTCTGTAGTATACCCTACTATTCAAACGTCTGTCTTTAGCACGTTTTCCCTTCATATAGTCCTTGTACAGAGTTGTTTAATCATATTAATATTGATAATAATAATAATTAAAACATGGATGTATGATGATGTGATTTTTTTTAGAACAAAAATTCTACCCAAAAAGAATGGGAGCCCCAGCCTCCTAGCTGTTCTCCACTTTATTTCCTCCATATCAGGTGAATAATAAAAATAATAAATGTATAATAACAAAGGAAGAGTGGTTGCAGTGGTAACAAAAATATACGAGCAGCCAAGATCTGTTGATGAGCTGTCATCTCCAGTCCCAAGCAATTACTAGCAGAGAGAAAATTGGGAGGCAGTAGAATGGGGGGAGGAGAGTAGCTCTGAGGAGTCATGGGGCCATAAAAATAATGTGGACAGCCCAGAGGAGGCTGAAATCAGCTTCAGAAAAGGAGGTCTGTGCTGCAGAAACTTGAAGAATAGAAGCTGGGGTATGGGGCACTGGTGGTCTGAGCTGGGACATGTGGGGGAGGACAGTGAGAATGACCTGGAAGGTGGGATGGGTAGGATTGGTGAGTGCAGAGCTTCAACTCTGTGGTATCCTGTGGGCTTCACTCTGAGAAGACATTTTGTGCACTGCAAGATGCCGATATGGGACTAAAGATCCCTTAGAACTGGTGAAATAGGTTCCATCTCTCCAAGCCAGTGACCCCCTCCAGGCCATGCCAGATAGTCACCCAGGTCTAGGCCAATGATAGAGTCAGTCCCACTATGTCCATGAGCCCTCTGCACCTCCACCCACCAGTGCCTTCTTGAAGGAATGCCCTCTTTTCTGCCACCCCTTTGCCTTTTGCCCCACCAGTTACCCTATCTGTCTGGCTCCAGTCTAGGGAGTCTTCTCCAAATTCCTCTTCCCTCCGCCCAAGCCTGTGGTGGAATACCTGGGGCCCCCACTGAGTCGAGCCTCTGAGCCACACCTCCTGTTGAAATCTTTCTTTCTCTCTGTGCTTCCCTGTCCTTATTCCTTTAATTAGAGAAACTAATGAATTTAGACCAAATCACATTCTCCTTTTACCCCTAATCCCAAGCTGCCTTGAGAAACTGAGGAGTGCCAGCAGGAAGGAGACCCCAAGCCTTGGGGTGCTCATAAAAATGCCCCACAGAGTGGGAGAAGGCTGAAGATGGACAGCTTGGCAGCCATGAGCTGGGGGAGGGGCCTAGTGGCTAAGCCTGGGTCTGAATAAAGGAGGGAGGAGAAGTCTGAATCCCAGAGAATCCAGGCAAAAAGACTATCCCATTCTTAAAACACATCTACACCGGAAGGGTCAGCAATGGAGGCATTTCTGGCTAAAAATAAATGAGGGAATTTAGGGAGGCCTTGAAAAAACTGGCCCTGAATTTACTGCCTTGATTTATTCTCAGAGACCCCCTAAATTGGAGAGAGAATACACCTTGTTGGGTGGTGTCTGTGTAGGCCCAGAGACTCAATAACTAGGGAAATTGTCAGAGAAGGAAAGACACTATAGCCTCCTCCTTGTGGCTGAAAAACAAGTCCCTGGGTCTCCCTGCCAAAAAGAAGATCATGGTTGGAACCTCCACTCATACACTAAGGGCGCAGCTGAGCTCTAGATCTGGGTGAGGATTGAGTCTGTGTTGCAGCTAAGTGTCTATTTTAAGCCCCCAAACTACAATTTACTTCACTAACTTTAAAATAAGGCACCCCATTTCTCTAACTGGGTCTTGAGGAGCAAAAAACGAGGAGAATTATCTGGATAACTGAGGTAGAAAATAATTCTGCTGTTGTGTGTAAGTGAAGTATCACCCAAATGAGTTCTGCATTTGGACCTGATTATCCGCGCAGTTGTTCTGCTGCACGCTGACTCGCACAGATGAAACTGGGTATTTAAAGCCACTATTGAGCGGGCAGGAGATGGGTCCGGCAGTCCGGGTTCTGTGGATGCTAATGCAGCCGGAAACCTGGTGCGATCGATGGCTCAGACCCAGAGAGGAGCAGGGACCGGCTGCCCCATGAGCGAACAAAGCAAACCCCGGGGACTTTGGGTTCCGACCAGGCCTGAGCCCCCGCCCACCCTCCCCGCCTTGTCCAGGAAAGCCGGAGCGGTTTTAGGCCCCAGGCCGCGCGGGAAACGCACCCTGGAGCCGCCAACCCTCTCTATGCAGGCGGGCACCTGGAGGCGCGGGAGGATCCGGTGCGATTCAGCGTGAGGCGGAAGGCAGGCGGGCGCCCACGGCCGCGGCCGCGCGTATGCCGAGCCTTAGGTCCGAGCGAGCGGCCGCCCTTCTGTGTCTGCTTCGGTTGACCGAGTTGCTGGTTCTCCGAGGAGAGGCCTGCGGCCCGTGCCCGCTGCCGCAGGACTCCCCAGCCAGCTTCGCCGCCCTCACCGCTGCACCCCACGCGGGGCTCGCCGTTGCCGCTCTAGGGGAGGCCCGAGACAAAGACTCGCCGCCACTGGTGGATGACGCGGGCGCCTGGGCCTCTCCCCAACTCACGCCTGGAGCCCTCAGTGCCCCGGCCGGCTGGGTAGAGAGGGCTATGGCGACCTCAGTCCAGTTCCCTGTCCGTCCTGGTCCCGGCCACAGTCCGCTCCAGGGGCCCAGGGAGAGTAAACCCAGTGCGCCCACAGGCCAGGCTGACCCCAGCAGCTCCCGCCCAGCCGCGCCAGTGGCTCTGCCGGCCCCCGCGAAGGATGAGATGACCCCTGCTGGCCGGAGCAGTGGAGACCGCCTCGCCGAGACACAGACCTGTCCAGTCGCTTGACCTGAGCACCCTAGGCCTGGGGGACGCCCCGTGAGTTTGTGGGAGCCCCCGAAGAGCAGTTGCAATTTGAGGCACTGCTCAGCTGCGGGAGCCAGACCTTTCTCCTAAGTGCCTTCCCTCTGCCAGGCACGCGGGGTCCCCACAGCAGCGGCCCCTCCTCTGCTCCGGTTTCTCGTCAATGGCGGCTCTGCCCCGGAGGCTCCTAAGCCGACTCCGCGCGCTCGCTGGAGCCTGGCATACGACGAGCCAAGAAACTGGGTCTCAAAGAGACCAAACACAGCTGGACCTTTAGCCAATCTGAACCAGCCCATTGCGGGCAAGTGATTTCTTTTGTTTCAGCCAGAGTCGCTTAGGAGACAAGTCTTCATTTTGTCAGTTTCCCTAGCCTGGGACTGGAGAACTTCCTTCAAGGGCAGATCCCTGAGGATGGGACCCATCAGCAATCCTCACTTGGGAAGCTCTCTGTGAAAGGTGCATAGTCCACATGTGGAGCATGGAAAAGATGTTTCATAAATTACACACCTGGTCTTAGCTCCGCCATAACCAATATATTGAAACACTATCTAAAATGCACAGACACCTAAGTTACATTCTAGGCATGGAAGATATATTTCTCTGTAAAATATACATACAGAGGCACTTTTATCTACTGCATGAGAAAGCAACCTACTGGGAAAAGATTACATATAGCATGTATATTCACCACAGGTAAAAATTTATTTACACATATAAACACTACATATGCACATATCCTACACAGGGAATGTGCAGTCCTGAGTCTGTTTAGCTACATGTACATATATACTCCAAAGGGCATATGAAATCAGTGCATGGAAAATGCATTCAGATATTAATATATCTACATTTAAAACTGCATATAAAATACATCATATTATTATACATACAAAAATTCATATCTACCCAGTGTATAGAAAATATATTCTGTAAATTATGTTTGCATACATGACACATGACATATATGTATCAAATACATTGAAAAGACATTCTTTGAGTTCACATATTGTATTTACAATACATTTTTTTTGGCAATCTTAAAAACAATAACAGCAAGAAGTTCAGGCATTGGCAATGACAGTCTCCATCTGTTGGGCCTTTCTTCTGTTCTATATTTCTATAATTTCTGTCTTCTAAATCCCCTTCTATGTCTCTATGCATCGTTTATATAAATGGTCTCCTATCTCTATTTCCCCTCTGCAACTCTTGTCTCAAACCCAGGTCTGGGTCTATATTTAGAGGGAAAAGTCCTGCTTGCAGCAGGGTCCCACTGCATAATCAGTTCAGTGTATGGAATAAGCATTGTATAATTAGGTTACTCCATGTGTCTTGAAATGTATTTTTCTAGACCTAATACTAGTATATTACAGAGTTACTTTGTGCTGCCAGTTATGAAAGGGGGTGCCACAGTGGTCTGACAAGGTGTGTAACAGGCAAGAGAATTCCCAGGTGTGTGCTGGGCACTCAAGGGCTCCTGAAGGCTAAAGTTTGTTTAATTTCTGTTAAATTTATTTTTGAATCTTGAGTCTAGGAAACAAAGGCTGAGCCTTGGCTTCTATGTTCCTCTCAAATCCCTGAGCGGCTCCACACCCCTGCCTCCAGCAAGGACAGAGAGGCTTCTGGCCTACAAGCCCTATGGCTTCCTTGTCATCTTTAAACTGGGCCAGGTCTACCTAAGTAGCTGAGAAAGGCTATCCCATAACCCAAGGTTTTCTTCAACAAAACCCACTCCTAACGCTTTTGGAGCAACATTTTCTGGCACTGAGCTGACTATGTTTTGGCATCCTAAAGATTACTCCCACTTGGGTCTTTCTTGAGCAACTAGAAATCTAAAACTCTCTGACACATTCCTGTGGAAAAATTCTTTGAGAGACAATGTGCTCACACACAGCAGAGATATTGTTTATGAGTCCATGGGTTCTGTGTAGACGCGGCCATATTTTACAGTCCAAAGGAATCAATTAATTAGCGCCTCCCAGTCCTCTCACCGGCCGCTGCTCCACTGAGCTCGAGAGCTGAGATAGATGTGCATGGCCAGCTAGCTGGTCTTGTTAACAAGCCTCATCATAAAGATGGAGATGATAAGGAGAGCAAGGAAGCCGCTGCAGCCTCGAGGGGGGGCTTGGAGGGCCCAGCCCGAAGGGCGTGGGGCAGCAGCTGGGCTGAGCAGGAGCTGGGTGCTACCCTGGTGCCCGCCCAGGTTTATCCAGTGTTTTCTATTTCGGGGCATTCATGTTGTAAGCTAGGACTGAGATAATTCCTTCTCCTCTCCCCTCCCCTGAATTTTCCCTTTTCCTCATCAAAATCCAAATCAGATTTTTAAAAATAAAGAAATATAAACCTCTGTCCATGAGTGCCTGTCTTGCGCTCTGCCACATTTGTTCAGGAGGGACCTGCCGCCTGGTTCCCTCCCCTGCATTTTGCTGCGTGGTTCACTTTCTTTCGTAGTCTTCTGGCTCACTCTTTCCTCCTCTGGCTCTCTCTCTAGCTTCGTGGTTGCTTTTTCTACCAGATCGGTGCTGGCTCAGGCCCCAACAAGCTTGTAAAAAAATATACAAATACCCCCTGGTTATCTCATGCCAGAGTGAACACCCCCAGATAAGCTAGACCCAATGAAAATAAAATTAAAAAAAAAAACCTTGGGTGTAATTGCTGGTTTGGGTTGCAGCACTTAATTCTGTTTATTCTTGACTCACTGATGTGCATACTTAACAGAGAGATATTGATATTAAAGGGCAGGGGGGAATTAATTTTACTTTTATAGTCATCTATTAAGAGCAGAAGATGATCTGAGTCTCCTTTAAAGGGACCCAAAAAGGGAGGGAGGGAAAGAGAAAGAAGGGGGGGAAGGGAAAAATATGACTAAAGGCGAACAAAGATCTTTGCCTGAAGAAACAATGTAACACTAGACAGAACTATAAAGTCTGGGAATGTAAGAAAGCAGGACTCTCTCAGCTTCCCCCGTTTGGAATCCTGTCCCCTGCACTTCCTGCTGAAATCCTGACCCTGACTACACAGTGGTATTCTAGGAAGAATTCATGCAATTATTTGGATAATTGTAGGGGAACAGAGAGAAAGCATTTCTCTTTTATTGTCTGACCGTCTCTGGTGTCTGTGCAGAGGAGAAGTAGGAGGGGCCGGGGTGTATGGGATATAGAGGAAAAGGAGATGGTAGGGTCTTTCAATATCACCCTAAACCCTTCAAAATGGCTACTTTTAAATCAAGGAAGCTCCAGGCAGGAGCTTACAGATTTTGGAACATAAGCAAGAAGGGACAAGAAATACAGTTTGAATGCCTCTGATCCAGTTTCACTTTCCAGGATATTTGCTTGGTTTAACTTTGTCTGCATAGACCTGCCTCCTCTAATATTGTAATCATTACAAGTAAGTGGATAATTATAGGGGTGTCAATAATATTGTTTTATAGCCACACAAGATATGATTAGAATTAATGTTGGAGGCTCTGCTGGAGCCTTGGGAGACAGAAAGAGACAAGGTAGAGAGGCTGGGATAGTTTTTCTCTTTTCTATTTTAACATGTGTGTGAATCTCCAGAAATCCCTAATTCTCTCAATTCCCTCCCCAGACGTCTTAAGGGAAATCTCTAGGATTTTAAGGGCTGAAAGCCCAGAAAAGGGCAAACAACAATTTGGTACTTGAACTCTGCCCCCCTTCATCTGAGGAACAGTGGGCTCTGTTCTCCCCATGCCCCCACAGTCTAAGGCTTTGCTCTCAAATACAAGGCCACTAGACTTTGCAGGCGAAGCCAGTGAGAGGAAGACAGGGTCTTATCAGAACCAAGTTCATTATCATCCCCAAGTGGGCATCGGGCCTGAGTGAAGCCCCTTTTGATCTCAAACTGGCACTTCCTTGGAGTGTCCTTCCCCTCAGGGGCGCTTGGGTGGGAGCAAAAGCCAGGCTGGGGCTAGGAGGTCCATTTGAAGTGGATATGAAGGGAGGATCGAAAATATTTTTTCTTGTTTTGGGGATTTAAGAGACCAGAAGGCTGTGGGAGAGAAAGAGAAAGAGATTGCCATAGAGGCCGTGCCAACGAGCAGAGCAAGACAATTGAGGGAGAGTATGAAATCAGCAGGTAAAAGGAATGAGTGGAAGAAAAGGAGGAGGAAGAAGGGAAAGAGATAACAAAGAAAGGAAGGAAATAAAAAGGGAAGGGTAGAAAAGAGGAAGAAAAAGAAGGAGGGAAATGAAAATAAGAGAGAGAGTGAAAGAAAGAGGCGAGAGGGAGGCAGAAGCGAGGGTCGGCGGTTGCTCTCGCCGGGCCCGCTGCCTGCAGCAGTCTGGGTGGGCGGGGGCGCATGACAAAGTGAAGGTCAAGTTAGCATCGTACCTTATAAGGAAGGCGTCGGTCCTCCATTTCAGCCTTTCTCTCCACCAGGACGTGGCCGTGGCATTTCTGGTCTTGTAAACACCGGACTCTTTGGGGCCTTAAAAAAATAAAGACCCCCCTCCTTCCTTTATTGGGGGTAGGCTCTGCCGGCCTGGAAAGCGGCGGACGCGGAAATCAACTAATGAAGACTCCGGGAAACTTTTCTCTCCTTTTCTCTCTCTGGCTCCGCTCCCCGCCAGCTGGGGCACCCTCCCTCCCTCCTTCCTCCCCGCCCCCCCCCCCCCCCCGCCTCTTTTTTTCTCTGAATCTCCCGGTCTTCCGTATCTCTCCCCACTGTCCGTAACTCTGGGCTCCCTCTCTCCACTCCCCTTCTCCCCTACTGCAGACTTCTAAATCCGTTCCATTCCAGTGCGAAGCGGAGCAGGACGTAAGAATTGGAGAGAAAATTAAACGTCATAAAGAAAAGTTCATTTACAGCTTAAATGTCTGAATTTACGGTTTCCTTCAGAATACAAGGCGGTAAGGAGAAGTGAGGCAGCAGGGGCGGGGAGGGCTGGTGCGGTAGGAGACTTGATTTTATTTACTTCTCAGATCCAGATGGGGGAAGAAAGGGGGAGAAGCAGGAAAGAGAGAGAAGCGTTTTAACGTGGCAGCTCCAAAGAAGAAGGCTGCAGCTGGTGGCATTGGGAGCAAAGCGCGACTGCACAGGGACCCGGCACTGCGGCAGCGGCGGCGATCCCCGAGCGCTGAGCCAGCTCGGCGGAGGCCTTGGGTGCGGAAAGAACAAGGATCTTAGATATTTGTGGGTGTAAGGGAGGAGGGGGACAAGGACCTAGGGAGGCAGGGAGACACCGAGAGTAAAGCGGCGCCGCAGCCGGCCAGCGAGACGGAAAGTGAGCTCCGGAGAGGCGGCGGCGGCAGCTGCTGCCCGGGCTGTGGGCAGTCGGCAGGCTCAGCTTGAAGGCGCTGGGAGGAAGAAGCCTGAACTGAGATCCTTGATCCTTTTCCTCCAGTGGGGGCTGGGGGGGGGGGAGAGAATGAATATGAATATGCGTGGGGATATCTGGGAGAAAACTCACCTTTTTCCTGGACCTCACAGCTTGTTTTCGCCTTTGCCTCCTCTGGGCTCAAGGAGCCTAATCACTGCTTTAAGGGCCTAATCACTGCTTTTGAAATTGGAATTCTAATGGCAAGGGAAGGGAGGGGTGCACAGAAAGCAACGGTGGAGAATTCTGGTTCAATCGGTGCTCCAAAAGCACTTAATTGTTGTCACCTCCACCCTCCCTGAATGGAAAATTGGCCTCTGGGATCAGCCCCCTCCCACTTCACCTACCTGATCGAGAGTACCTCAGGGTATTAGGGACCTGAAATAGAGCCTGGGGGTTGGTGAGGGCCTCAGCCCAGAGTACGGAGATGGCTAGCAGAGCTCCCAGGCCTTAGTGCCTGCTGCCCTCCTACTCTGTGCTCTGATAATGAAAAACAAAGGTGGAGGGTTTAATTATTTCTGGTGGTGTTACAGTATCCTGGCTTTCAGAGATGCTTCTGACCCCCAAGATGGAAGGTGATAAGTGTCTCTCCCAGAGACATTTAACCTGGGCAAAATGTCACTTATGTCACAAAGTGCCTGGGCTCAAGGGGCTGAAGGAGTAGCCAGGGTGGGGACATTTGTTGCTAGGAAGCCCCAGGGAGGGAACAGCAGGCCCTCTGGCAGTGATAAAGAACAGTTGAAATGGACTTAGAAGAAGGCCCTTTCTGATGTCCCTGCAGCCTGGTAAGGGGAACCCCAGAAAGTCAGGTCGTTATGAGCTGGGATGTTCCCCTCAGTGTGGGAGAGATAGAGACAGCCAGACTTCACCCTGCAAAAATGTCTGTGACATAAAATTGGCAGGAGCTTTGGAGATTTAGGGACTTGCAGAGAGTGGGGCAGGGCCAGACACCCTGGTGAAGGCAGAGTCTTAGGTGTGATTCAGAGTGGGTTGGGGAATCTGAGGGGCAAGGCTGGGAAGGTATCACCCAAAACCATTTCCTCAGAGAAGCCAAGTATACACACTGGGCTCCAATATTGAAAAACACCAGATGATCTGCTTGGAAGGGACATAAACAGGCCAAGCGGATGCAGGTTAATAAAATCCGAAAAAGCCCAGACAGGAACACTTAAAATGCCCGAGAAACAAAGCACACCATGACAAATTCTCACCCAACACACAAGTACACGCACCGGAATGTTCCCAGACACAGGGAGAAAAAGACTTGCCTACCTTGGGCCTCTACCCATGGACACTCAGGCATACCTGCCCAGCTCCAAGAGCACACACAAATTCGTGCACTCTCCTAAACTGATCCAAAGAAACCCCTGGGGGGCAGGGGGGCAGGCATGGGCTACATGCACATCCCGCAGAGCCGGCCCCCGTCTCCGGAGCCTTGCTAATGCACGATCCATACCGAGAGATAAAAGTCTAGACAATAGACGGCTGTTTATGACAACGAGTCTCTCCAAGTTTGGGGCCAGGCGATAAATCTCTGGAAAATCTTCCTGTAACTCATCTTCTGGCTATAGTGATGAGAGAACCACGGAGACCACAGAGAGGAAAGCAGCAAAATGGGGGAGACTTTTAAATCACGAGCAGAAGGCACCGTCCCTGCTAGAGTGAGCAGGCATACCGCCACACTCACCCCACCCAGTGAGTCCACACTGTGGGACCTTTTGAATTAAGCTTCAGGGTGCAGGCGAGTCAGGCTGCTCAACAGCCTGCCTAGCTTCCAGCAGCGTGGAAAGTGGAAAGTGCAGGCAGAAGGCAGGGCCGGAGGCTGGAACAGACCCACAGACCATTCTTGCTGGGGGCAAAGGGTCTTTTTTATCAGAGACTAGAATCTTCTTGCTTTGTGTCACCTGAATTTTTTCACCTCGCTCTTGCTCCCCATGTCTGTCTCTCTCTTTCTCCTTTTCCTTTTCGGATTGATGGGCTGTTCCCTTTTGCATTTTCAACCCAGGCGTCTGATTACAAGTAAAGAGCCACTGAAGTTGATCTCATAAAAATGCCGCGAGTTCACTTTGATCAGTGCAGACTGGGTCTGAGCCTAAAGTAGGCGTTAAAGCTGGGGAATGGGGGCTCCAGCCAACCAGGCCTCCACTGTGCAGCCAGACGGGAGACCCGGGTGGCCCAAAAGAGCAATCCCACCCACAAAAGGTATTTTGGTGCCGCCACAACTGGCTCTGGAAACTAAGGCCCAATATCAGCGGCTCCATCTCCAGACTGCTTTTAAGAATTTTTCTTCATTTTGGAGCATTTGGTGAGGGGGTCAGTGAAACTGGCTCTTAAAATGAGGCTTTTATGGGGAAAGATGGGGTTGCGTTGCTAGCCTCCTGGGACAATCTCACCGAGGAGTAAGCTGGGTAGGGCTGTGGGGGTGGAGGAGCCACCCTTTTCCCTCTCCACTACCTGGTCCATCTGTCTGAGGAACCTCCAAGCAGGGTCCACCAACTTAGGTGGTCTGACTTGGGGCCTCTGGTTTAGGGTGAGGGCTAAGTCTGAGGAGAGATGGAAGTTGTGACCCAGCAGTCCCACACCCTTCTCTTTCCCTGACTAGGGTGGGAGTAGGGTGTTCCAGATGCAAGACAAACTGCTAGCCTGAAGAAAGCACGCTAAAGCGATTATTAAGTGCAGCAATATTGCTGGAAGGGAAAGAAATGTGCCCAAGAAAGTGCAAGCCGATTTCTAATGAGCGTTCTTGCCAGCCCAGCCTGGAGACAGCTGAGGGTGTCCATGCATGGGACTCTCTCCACTTATCTTTTTATTGACTCCACAAGGGGCTGAATTTACAATCCAAGCCCACTGGAGCTCTTACAGGTCCCTTTTTCTCTTCTCAGGGTTTTTCTTCCTGCTCATGTTTCTGTGTGTGTGTGTGGGGTCCCATTTCCCTACCAAGATCAGCTCTCTAGAACCCAGAGCAGAGAGAAGGAGGTAGACAAGCAGCAAAGTGGCCCCAGCACTGTGTGCATTTGTGGGGGGCGGGGGCTGCTCTGGGAGCCACCCAGGCCAGAATTCTGGAGATACTGCCCCCTTCCGAAGCCAAAGCCGTCCCTGTTTGTTGTCCATATGTGGGAGAGAAGGGTGCTGGAGTCTGTCGTGGCCCCTGTCAGACTACCACGGAAGCTGCCCAGACTGCAGCCGCCTGCTAGTGGCCAGGCTGGCCGGCGGCGCTAAGGCCACCAAGAGCCAGTGGGGAGGGCAGGATGGCCCTGCTATGGAAGATTTCAGGTGAAGGCTGGGGACACCAGGCGGATGGAGGGGCCACAGGCTCCCAACAAGTGAGGTAAAAAATAAATCCCCTGGAGCAGGACTTGAGGGGAGGTTGGGGGCCAGAGATGGGGCCCATGTCCGGGAGGTGCTGATGCCCTGGCCAGAAGCTGTGGACTGAGAAGGTGCAGCCTGAGGCCAGCAGCCCAGCAGATGCTTCCGGGTGGCCCGGACCCAGGGCTGGGCAAGAAGGCCATTACCTCACACCATGGGCATTTTTGCCAGTCAAATTCTAGTTGACCTTAGCCATAGGGCCTTTTCTCCTTGACCCCAGCAGCAACCATCAGTTGCTGGGATTTTTTTTTTTAAGTTGTTGAAAATTAATTAAGTCAGATCAACACTAGAGAATGTTTTAAACTTCATGCTTTACTTTTAGGGGGAAGAATATTACTTTCCACAAGTCTCTGTTGGGAGACCTGAGTTTCCTGGATACCAACTCCTTGACATTCTTTTTTGCCATTCTTTTTTGTTGCAAGGAAATAGGGCCGCCAGCAGCTCCTTGCAGCCGCCTGGCTCACTTTTATGGTGGCCCCAGAATAAACTTTGGTGGTCAAATTCAAGTGCTCAGACCCGCAGCTGTCTCCTCACAGGAAGCAGCCCCCCTTCCTGGCCCTAGCTGTGAAGACTATGCCTTGGGGGATTGGGCCCCATAACACCCTGGAGGCCAGGAGGAGGAGGAAGCAGTGCCCTGGGGGGCAGTGAGGAAAGTGGGAGCTGAGACTCTGAGCCCTCATCCACATCTCTGCAAGGGATAGGGGTACCTCTCGCCTCCCTCTTGCTAGTGTCTATCACTGTTTGGGGAGCATTTTGCCTCTAATAAACTAGAGTTTAATGAGGTCAGCACGAACCCCATAAAAGGCACAGTACATAGTTCCCCACCATTATAATTAAAAATGCTGGCCCCAGCTCACCCTATAAAAAAGGCTAGAGGAAAGAGGCAATGCAACAGATTTTTCTTTTTGTGGTCCCTTCCCGACAGAGAAATCCTACACTTTAGCAAAGCCCCAATCTAGTTTCTCTTTGACTCAGTTCTAAGATCTGACCAGGACTAAAGAAGCAGCGCCCAGCACTGAGTGGATAGAGGGTTCCTGAGGCCTATCCCAGAATATTCCAGAGCTGCCCCAAGAATGAGACCCACGTCTGAGGTAGACTCTACCCACGTGTAATTCTAAAGGCTGAGGAAGTTTGAGGAGGCAAGAACATTGAGAAGGAATAGATATTGGAGATTATATTTGGAGACAAGGTACAATTTTTTGTCTTCTCTATCTGGTCAGGGAACCTCAGCATGTCATCATGTTTCATCAAGAAAAATCAAATCTAAATATTTTTAAAGTGAAAATCAATTTTAACCAAAATTTATGGGTGTAAAGAAGGCTTAGGCTATTTTTGGCTTTCTCTGAGTGTACAATGGGCTGAGTCCCTGGGGGCTTTACTTCTTCCCCTCCTTCCCAAGCAAGTCATGTCCTGGAGGCTCTTCCTTGGATCTAAGACTGCTCTCTGTTCATGCCAGTTACTCTGGTCCCTTGAACTCAGTCCAGAACCTTTCAATAAAGTGATTTTCAGCTGCCCAGATGTGTCCTGTGGTGCCCAGAGGGATGGAAGACAAGGGAGGTCAGAATCACTGAGTCTCCCCCTTGGGCCACAGCCATCCAGGAGGCTGACAGGCTCTGAGGAGGGCAGGGCAGGACTGAGAAACAGGAAGGAGGCACTCAGATCTGCCTGAAGCCCCAGGGAAAGGGGCTGGGGGATTTGACTAGGGAGTGGCCCCTGCCACTGCCCTGCCCTGCCCACCCCAGGGTCCATAGCTCCCTTCCACTGTCCTGCTGGTCTATACTGGAGATGCATACCTGGCCAAACAGCCCACCCCACACTCCCCTAAATCATTCAAGGATAGGAACCCCACACCCAGTCTCCCTCACCATATCTTCCTGAGCCCCAATAGTAGGCTTTTTTCCAGCCTACTAGCGAAGGCTGAGCCCCCAACCCAAAAGGCCCTGACATAGAAGATACATAGCTCTCATTCTAATCCTTTTCTTTGGGGTTTGGGATTTGAAAATCCACAGTGGATGTAGCTTTCTTCGCATTGATTGACAATAAAGGCAGGCATGAAATATTCACCCAGGGCCACTCTCTCATACTAAATATTTAACACAACATTAGAGAAGGTTTTTCCCAGACTTCGCCAGGCACCGGCTGGGCGGCTGGCGCACTGCTCACCACTCATTTATGACTAATCGGAGTCCCTAGCCAGCGGCAGCACAGCAAGCCAGACAAAGTTGGGACACTGGCTTGCAGCTGGGCTGCCTCACCTTTGGGAAACTTCAGATACTCTTCCGGGGAGTCTCTCTAAAGACTCCAAAAAGGGAGTCTTGTCACCTAGCTCTGGCCAGGAAGAGTCGACTTCTTCAAACTCTTGTAAACAGGCGCTGACTCTGCGGGATGGAGGGGTAAGAGTCCCTGGGACTTGGTGGGGGCCGTAAGGATTCACTTCTCTTGGAGAAATCAGGCAGTGGGGAAAGAAATCCTCACTCCCATCTGTCTGGTGCTGATCACAGGGAGGAGGCAAGACCCCAACACTTGAAAGCCCTCCTCCTTCCCCCAATCCTGGGGGAAAAAAGAGCAGCAGCTAGAAAAAAATACAATTACCCCCTCCCAGCCACCACCCTCGCCCATCCCACCGCCCACCCCACCCCAACCCTCTCTCTCCTCCTTTGCTCGTGCTGTGGAATGGAGAGGAGGGGAGTGACGGGAGAAAAACGAATACAAATCTGCAATTGATTTTCATAATGTTTCTGCGGTGTTTGCAAACCAATCGCCTGAACGTCCCCGATCTTACCTAAGAGAGAACCCCTCCTACGTCTGCGAAGTGCTCCGAACTGATATATGACAATATCTACTTTGGATCACGTGCTCGGGGAGAGAGACTAAGACGGATAACGCGTCATCTCGCCTTCCCAAATTTTCCCCCCTCGCTAGACCGGGTCCAAAACCTTCATCCGGAGCCGGCAGGAGAGGAGAACGATGTTTAACTCGGTCAACCTGGGCAACTTCTGCTCGCCGTCGCGCAAGGAGAGGGGCGCTGATTTTGGCGAGCGAGGGAGCTGCGCCTCCAACCTCTATCTGCCCAGTTGCACTTACTACATGCCCGAGTTCTCCACGGTCTCCTCCTTCCTGCCCCAGGCCCCCTCTCGTCAGATCTCCTATCCCTACTCCGCCCAAGTGCCCCCGGTCCGGGAGGTCTCCTACGGCCTGGAGCCCTCCAGCAAGTGGCACCATCGGAACAGCTACTCCTCCTGCTATGCGGCGGCCGACGAGCTTATGCACCGGGAGTGCCTGCCTCCTTCCACCGTCACCGAGATCCTCATGAAAAACGAAGGCTCCTACGGCGGCCACCACCACCCCAGCGCCCCGCACGCAGCCCCCGCCGGCTTCTACTCGTCAGTCAACAAGAACAGCGTCCTGCCTCAAGCCTTCGACCGTTTCTTCGACAACGCCTACTGCGGTGGCGGCGACGCACCCGCCGAGCCCCCCTGCTCGGGCAAGGGCGAGGCCAAGGGGGAGCCCGAGGCGCCCCCGGCCTCGGGACTAGCGTCCCGGGCTGAGGCGGGTGCCGAGGCCGAAGCTGAGGAGGAGAACACAAATCCCAGCTCGTCCGGTTCAGCCCACTCCGCGGCCAAGGAGCCGGCCAAAGGAGCCGCCCCCAGTAGGTAGCAGCGGCCGGGAACAGGCGGGCAGCGAGGGAGGGAGTGGGAGAGGGAGGGCGAGAGTAGGGGGGAGGCAAGGGGAGCGGGGACGGCCTCGTGTTTTGGGTCAGTCCGATTTTATGTGGAGTTTTATAAGCATTCAAAGGATTTTATTATAACCTACAAAGCCCTCTCTCCCAACGACTCGACTTTTTACGATGGAGAAGGGGTGGGGAGGGAGGGAAAAGGGCTCTTTGGAAAAGCCGGGTGAACCCCCCTCCCCGTTATCTCCCTCGGTCTGTGAAATTTTTAAAAGCGCCACCATTGCGGGCGATATTAACTTTGATCGTGAACTTAGAGGAGCATTTAAGGAAGGATGGGGAGCTGGGCTGTCGGGGAGTGGGAGGGAGGGGAGGGGTGGAGGGGGAGAGAGGGGAGGGCGAGGGGAAGGCAGGGAGAAACCCAGAGGGGGGAGAGGTGGGGAAAGAAGCAATGGAGCAGAACCTGAGGCCGGAGAAGCGAGCCAGGGCTGCTCTGATTCTTTTTAAAACTACTTTTGAAAATGCTCAAACTATGTGTTTGGGGTCCTTGAGCAGAAACCCGAGCAACTCGGAGGCCAGCAGGCGACAGGGGAATAGGCAGAGGCGGCTCAGGGCTCCACTGCGCCCCAGGCGGGGGTCTCAGCGTTTCTCCTCGGTCCGCGGCCTTGGTGCGGGCCTAGAACTGCAGCCAGGAAGGCGCTGCCCGGCGGGCGTCCCGGGGCGCCAGGGCCCCGGAAGCGACTCTCTGGTGTCTTGGTGCTTGTTCGCTGGCTTCCTCCCCGCCTTCCCACTGCGTTCGCCAGATCTCACTTCTTTGCGCCTGTTCTCCGCCGTTCCCCCAGATTTCTGGAGGAGGGGGTGGTGGCTTTCAGAACCACTGGGAGGGCGCCTCGGCAAGGGACAGAGGGCTGCAGGGGAGCAGGCAGGGGGCCCGAGGGGACGCCCATGGACCCGCGGGCTTTCCTTCTCTCCCAGACCGGTCAGCCACCGCTCTCTCCGGAGGGGTGGGGGTAGGGGGTGCCGGAGTCGTGCAGTGGCCCCAGATTGGGACAAGCTAGATTTGGCAGGGGGTCGAGGCTCGCCCCAGCGCTGCGCCCGAGCGAGGAGAGCTGGCCGGCCCGGCGGGAGGGCTGCCTGGCGGTTAGGCTGGGAGAAGGGCCGCTGGGGGCTCAGCGGGCTGGGGTCGCCCGGGTCTCACGTGTCTCTCTCCCCCCTCTCCTCGCACTTGCCTCCTCCCTTCCCTCCAGACGCCCCCCGCACCCGCAAGAAGCGCTGCCCTTATTCGAAATTCCAGATCCGGGAACTGGAGCGAGAGTTTTTCTTCAACGTGTATATCAACAAAGAGAAGCGGCTGCAGCTGTCCCGGATGCTGAACCTGACGGACCGACAAGTGAAAATTTGGTTTCAGAACAGAAGGATGAAAGAAAAAAAACTGAGCAGAGACCGGCTGCAGTATTTCTCGGGAAATCCGCTGCTGTAACCGCAGACCGGGCCCTTTTGGGGAAGGGGGAAAGGGGGAAATTATTTTATTTTATTTTTATTTTTTATTTTCTAACTCGTCTTCTTTCCGCGGGTGGAAAACTGGACTGTGGCCAGGGCTGGCCCCCACTGCCGTTGCTGGCACTTCTTTCCGGAGCCTCCTTCACCCTCGCCTGACTCTCGCTGTGGGACAGGGACCGAGCCTGGAAAGGGGGTGAAGGGAAGTGTCTGACTTACAGCGAGTGGACACCCTTGGCACCGAGGCCAAGACTCTTTATTTAAAAGAAAACACACCTCGGCGACAATGTCTTGCTGCTCAGATTGGGTGGGGGAGGGGCGACAGTAGCGAGCGCCTGAGCCGAACACTCCTCAAACTAAAAGCCTTCCCTTGCCCAAGTGAAAAGATCCGCTAAGACACCATGTCTGTCAGCGGAAACCTCCCCGGCTCCCCGCCCCTACCCCACCTTGCCCCACTATTAGGGGGCAGCTAAATGTGATCCTGCCTTGCTGTGAAATTCCTGTACTTTCGACCTGGTGTTAGGTGTGCAAAGTCCGTGTCCTACCTCCGTCCTCACCCAGGCCCCGCCCGAGCCTAGTTGTCCTCCCTGTGAATGTGTAGAGCCCTCCTTTGAAATTTCTTAACTGGTGCATTGAGGTTTCCTAACCTTTTTCCAAGCAGTGCCCCACTCCATGGATTTATAGCTATAGTCTATGCAGTTGTTACCTCCTTTTTTTATTTTTAAGGACAAAAGAAAAGATTGGGGTGGATGGAGGCAGTAGGGAGATGGGATTGGGCACCTCCCCCATGCTGGGGCCTGAATTTTTGTAAATAAATTTCACAAGCATTTCTTTCTACCCAGAGGGGATGGGGAGAGGACGCCCAGAATGAGATTCCAATCACCCATCTCCATGTGTGTGAGTGCGTGTGTACATAGGCAATCCCCACCCTGCTCCCATCCCAGAGGGATTGCTGTGAATTTTTTTTTTGGTGGCAAATAAAGATATTTCATTCTGTTCAATATTATGATTTTATTTGACCCTTTTATTAACCCCTCTCCTCTTAAAACGCTCCATTCTCCCAAGGCGGTGGAGGAGGAGGAGGCAGGCGGGCAGAGGCCAGCCGGTGAGGACAGGCATGCAGAGGTGAGGTAGGCCTGTGCTGGCCAGCCTGAGCTCCTCTGCACTGGCAGAGCCAAGACTGTGGTGGTAACCTCCTCCGCTCTCAAGCTGAGGACATTCCACAGCTACTCTTAAGCTCTCCTTCCTCACGTGCAGCTCGAGCTGTGTCCAAATGCCCAGAAACTGCTTTCTGTTTAAGTACACGTTTGTTGTGGAGTTAATTGTAACCATCATCGAATTTAAATTTATAGGAATTTTTTTGGCTCCACCGCCCTCCTGCCAGATGTCTCCGTCTGTCGCAATTAAATGTGTAGGGTTGAGGGTAGGACTTTAGTGGTTTTATTCTCCATGAGAAGACTGTATTGGAATTTTTATATACAGTTTTTAAGGAAGGAGGGGAGAGGAAGAAACCAGCCCCCTCCTCCTTCTCTCTGAAGCCCCTGAAGGTGGGAAGGTGGGGCCTGGCCGATTCCCCTCTGGCACAAATGGCCAGGCTCCACCAGACACAACAAGACACCAAGGCTGGGGCCACCTGATGTTTATACATCGGGTGTCCCAGAGTAGAAGGCCCCAGAGATTTGTTTTGTAGGGGTTGGCATGGGGTGGGGCACTGGGGAAGGAGGTGACCTGTGGGGACAGTCGCCACACCCATCTATATTTGCTCCATTTTCTTCTGTATAAAGATAATCATAGTCCTTTCAGTGCTTTCAGTGAGGGTACTGGTATCTGTCCCAAATTCATTTGTTATTTGGAGGCAGAGATTTGGAACCAATTCTCTCATCTTTCACCTCTCTGTTCTTGTCTTATTCAAGGAAGATTTTTTGTCACTATGATTCTGTTGGATGAAAGGAAACACCATCATGACTATCAAATGAAGGCTCTGTCTTTTTTGATGGCAGGGATCCCAGCAGTCTAGGGGTCTGAATCTCTAATTTGTAAATGTGGGTCTTGAGAGCAGATTTGCAAACTGGGGTGTATATGCATCCCACAATTTCCTCCTGTACCCATAAGCATTTGATTTTAATCAGTCTGCCTATGGGTGCAGGTGAGGAGTATATTTGTATGCTTTTGCCTTAGTTTGAGGAGTAAACCTGGCCACATGCATATCTAGAGCTTGTGCCTCTATGGTGTGTAACCACGGGCAGTGTTTGGTGAGTGTGGGCAGGAATGCAATTGAAAGTCCTCTGTGTGTTTGTGTGTGTGTGACATGTCTCTAGGTATGAAGTTTAGCCACTAGTCATGTTAGGGAATATTAGCTTTCTGGTCATGTTTCCTGTAAAAATAGGAAGGAGCTAACTATATAGAACAAAGCTGTTTATAAAGCAAAATATTAACCTCCAAATGGCTCCTGATTTTGGAGAAAAATATTGAAAACCCACAGCTACCACTTTTTCTGCAATGTGCATCCCAGAAAATGTCCTCAGCTCCAGAAGAGATTTTTGATAGATGAAAGGAGAGGATCATTATGAAAGAAAAACAAAGGCTTCTGTGACCCAGGCCCAAGAACCTGTCAGTCCTTGGTGATCATCTAAAAAGGGAAAAAAAGAGGGATATTTGGCTCCCCAAACAAACCCACTTTCAGACTCCTGGGATGTCCAACCCCTCTTGCAGGTCAGGGATACTCTGGGCTCAACCTCTTGGGGTAATCCCCTCCAGCCAGAGCACTGCCCAGGAACAAAAGATCCTCGTCTAGACGCTGCCATAAAGCGCCCCCCGTGCTTCTAAACCCAGTTTCATTTCGCTCTTAACGACCCAGTCTGGCCTGTATTAGAAAACGCTTCCGCCCTAAATAGTAAACAAACCTGCAGTGGAGGGTCTTGGCTCTTCCAACACACCCCAGACCCCCACCTCATCACCCCCTTGCCCCACATTTTTCCTCTTTTCCTCCAGTCTTTTTCAGTTCCCAGCTCCGCAACCCTCCCCCTGCCCCAGTAAATAAACCTGAGGCCGAGTTCAAAGTTTCCCGGAGCTAAGGAGGAATGTTGGTTGTAAAAATCCAAGTTTATAGCACACGTGGGAGTTTACAAGGGTATTAAGTGGTGTGGGCTGAGAGCACTCTGGGCCCCATCCCCTCCCACTATGGGCTTTGGGGGTACAGGGGGAACGGGGCACTTGAAAGGAGAAATGGGTTTGGGGGACAGCCTTGGGATTGAGATTTCTTCTTCACTCAGACCCTTAGGTTGCTGGGGAATGGTGATGCCAGGGCCCCTTGGAAGAAGGCTCAAAACCCCCACCGAAAATATTTGAGAGAAAGTCCACAGGTTCTAGATGTGCCAGATGGGGAGGTGGGGACCCCCTGTCCTGGGGGAAGCGGGGAAAAGGTGCAGAGCATGTGGTTGAATGGTAAACAGAGTTGAGGATACCTGGAGCCACTTCTCTGCTAGAGCGGGAGAAACTACCTTGGGCTAATTTCTCGAGTGGGCTGAAGGCAAAGAGGGCTTTTCTCACCAGGGCAAAGAAGAACTTTGAACTTCAAGGGAGTCAAGGGCACCACCCCTTCCTTCTCCCCGCCCCTCTCAGGAATCTGTAGGGCAATTGTTTCTGGGCCAATATTCCCTGAAGGGGGCAGCCACTGGGGTTTTCTGGTGCCCTAGGCCTGGATAATGCTGTTTGCTAGCCCCTCCCTGCGCAGAGTCAGCCAGAACATTGTGCACGCGACTACACTCTTTATTATTCATATAAACCTTTGGAAAAGGCAACGCCCCAGGAAGTTTTTATAACTTTGCTTGGCATAAAAATTTTACAAGATTCCCCCTCCCTTTAAAAAAAATACTTAAAGTTTTGGTTTTGCCATAGGCTGAAATCTCAGGTCTTTGGGAGGGAGGAGAGGGGCTCTGGGGTTGGGGTTGAGGGGGAGTATTTAGAGGTGCCTCTTTTTGCCTAAGGCAAAAAGGTTTGATGGTCTGGGTTGCTCCTTCCTGAGGCCCACCTTGGATCCAGCTTTGGGGGCTGCCAGCCAACAGAGGCTCCAGGCCTCCCAGAGAGTCCTGACTAATCTGCTCTTGAGACACACCTATACAGACCCCCAAAGTTTAGACAATGTCAGCATGACAAGACCTTCCCCCATCACACTTGGTCTCCTGTAAGCACCATTTCTCTCTCTCTCTCTCTCTCTCTCTCTCTCTCTCTCTCTCTCTCTCTCTCTCTCTCTCCACACACACACACACACACACACACACACACACACACACACACACACACAGCCCTGCTCACTCTTCCCCCAATCCACTGAACAAAGCTGAGACCCATAACCTTGACTCAGATTGCTGATCTGGGAGGGTCTCCGTGCACACACAGTCTCACATCTGTGCTGCCTGTGAAGTCAACAATGGGTTTGAAGAAAGAATCAAAATGCCAAGAAACTCCTGCCCAGAGGTTGCAGTGGTTGCAGAACTAAAGGAGACAGAAGGACAGCAGGGCTCCAGTCCATGAGCCCAGAGAACAAAGGCGCGCTCGTGGGGGGAAGTGGCCTTGAGCTGTCAAGCCCACGGATGACCCTTTGGACCTGTTCCCCACCTTGGACTGGCAGAACCTCACTCCTTCATTTCCCCTGACTCTAGCCTTGAGAGCACCAATTGAACTCAACTTTGGGTCATTTTAATGTTTAGCTCTGGAGGTCAGGACAAAAATGGAGTGACTTTGCCAGAGGTAGGCCTGGTAGATGAGGCTCCTTTGGGGCAATGGAAGTGAAGACACATGACCCTTGGATTCCTGGCACTTCAGAGAGCCATGAGCGTGAGTGGGGATGTGCCCTGGAGCCGAGATTTCCCTTCCCTCTAATGGCGACGGCTGAGGCCTGGCGGCGGCCGCTGACAGCCCTACACTTCGCCTTGTGAGGAGCCTGGCTAAAGCTGAAGGCGGGAGAAGGTCAACTCCAAGCCTTAGCAGCCGGCTGGTGAGGCATGCGGCTGAGCCTGGCGCATTCCCCCTCACTAAGCCCAGCACAACAGAGGAAAATCGCAAAGGCTAGGGAAGAAAGTCAAGGGGAAGAAAAGAATTGAAGAGAGAAAAAAGAAGCAGATAATAAATTTGGTAATAGAGAAAGAAAGAAGGAAAAGAGAAAATGGGGAAATAAGGAAGACAACGAATTAAGAAATAAAGAAAAAGGATCAGAAAAAGAAGGAAAAATGAATTGCAGGGGAAAGGGGAAGAACGAAAAATAGAGAAAGAAGCAAATAAAGAAAAAGGAGGAGGAAGAAACAAGAAGAAAGGAAGGAAAGAGAGAAGTAAGGAAGGAAAGAAGAAAGGAAAGAAAGAAGGATAGAACGGAAAGAAAGACTAACAGACCTTTGAAAAGGTCTGTTAGGGAGACTCGGGTTTTTATTCGGAGCAAGCCAGCCCACCACAGCCTGACTCTGCCTGGAAACCTGACCTATTTGGGCAACTTAGAAGCAAACCATTAGAGTGGGGAGCAGGGCCTTCCCCCCAAGACATCCTCTCATCTGTCCCTCCTCCCAAAGCTTCTCTCGGAGGTGTTTGCGGTCTGGTTTCAATTCAGGAGGCAAAGTGAAATAACTGAACGGCTTCGGCAGGCTGGGAAGCAGTCAGGCTGGCTCGGCTTATCAGACTTCAGGATTCAGGGATCTCAGGGAGCACTTTGGGTAAAGGCGAATATTTGTGGCTGTGTACATACAATTAAATGCAAGTTAGACACGTGTATAGATGCTAAACTCCACAGCATCTGGGTACAAGTGTGTACATTCTGCTGGCCGGGCTGCCAGAGTGGCTGTGAGATTCGGATTAGACCTGAGGCCCCTGTAAGATTCCTACCTCCCTTTCGTACCTGTTTGAAAATCTTTTTTTTTTAAGGGGGGGGGATGTCTCTGAACATTCCGAATTTTGCCTGGAATTTCTCTGCTTCCAATTCAGCTGGGGCAGAGCCTTGAATGACGATAATGAA